ATTGGGCTTCCAGTAGCTCTGGAGAGAGCTTTCGCACCTGTGGCCACTAACGGTCATCATTTCTCTGCTTTGTTTCAAGACCCGCATCAGAAAGCTTTTGAATGGTGCTACTTTTCCAGTTGGTCTACCTGCTCTTCACGTAGCTCTGCATGTCGTCGGTTAGGTGCTTTTTTTTTCTGGAGATAGGCACTGCTCAATCCACTCCTCCATAGTAAGACCCCCCCGGAGGTCGAAGTTAATCTTAAATGTTTCCATCTTAAGCTTTGTACGTTTGTTTCGTAACGGAAGAAATTTAAAGTGATTTAAGTTCTGTTATATCTTCTAGGTGAAGGAGGACAACCAGGAAATCGCCAGCATGGACAGACAGTATGTAACACAAACAAAACCCTGAGTCTCTGTCAGGGTTCAACTTTCTTTTTTTTTTAACTTTTTTGGATTCATTTACATTTTATAACAACAGCATACTTTGCCTGAAGTTATCAACACATGTTTAAAGGTTCAAATGGTTTTATTATATTGAAGATTTGAAAGTTAATCATCCCTTCAATAGTGTTTTATTTGTCTGATAGTTTACATATTTTTTCTTCACGGTCAACTTTTATATTTGCACTCTTTTAGTTCTGTTTTTTCTTCTATTTTGTTATATATATATATATCGTATAATTGTTTTTTTTTATTATTATTAATAATGTGCAATACTTGTTTTACATGCAGCTAAAACATTTCCCATTTTGGGATTAATAGAGTATACGTATTTTATCTTATCTTTTCTACCTAATTAATTGGTGCTTTTTGTCTTCTCTTACTGGCTCCGTGACCCTGGCCCTCTCAAGTATTCGCTTCTGAATAGGAAACCCATTTTCCTCTGTGTTCTGATGTGTGTGTTCCGATGTGTGTGTTCTGATGTGTTCTGATGTGTTCTGATGTGTGTGTTCTGATGTGTTCTGATGTGTGTGTTCAGGCTTACAGAGATCAGGGAGAGGATGGAACAGATCACAGAGCAGATCCGACAGCTGGAGCAGGACTCAGAGGAGGCGCAGGGTAACACCGTGTGGCAGTCTACACTTTTCATCTCTCTATCGAAATGTCGTACACTGCCTCAAAAGTTTCACGTCTTATTAAAGAAACGATGTTATACACTATAAACAATGTTAGAGACATGTCTTTGTTGCCATATGTCAAGGGCTGATCATTATTTCCATGGCATTAATCTACTAATTATATTTATATGTCATAGTTTGTGATTTCAACTATATCAATTCCTATTATTATGACATGGGGAAAAGCCGTAGTTGACATGTCTGAAGTATTTATTGTGTGACAGAGATTCCTAAATTAATATATTCAATTATCCTTTTTTGGCGTTGAACTATTTAAAAACAGGTGTCCCTTTTTCAAAAGTATTGCTTGGTCTTGGACAACTTAATGATTGAAATGCCTTTACTTGGACATACAGGACTGTCTCAGAAAATTAGAATATTGTGATAAAGTTCTTTATTTTCTGTAATGCAATTAAAAAAACAAAAATGTCATACATTCTGGATTCATTACAAATCAACTGAAATATTGCAAGCCTTTTATTATTTTAATATTGCTGATTATGGCATACAGCTTAAGAAAACTCAAATATCCTATCTCTAAATATTAGAATATCATGAAAAAGTATACTAGTAGGGTGTTCAACGAATCACTTGAATCGTCTAATTAACTCGAAACACCTGCAAGGGTTTCCTGAGCCTTGAAAAACACTCAGCTTGGTTCAGTAAACTAAATCACAGGGGAAGACTGCTGATCTGACTGCTGTCCAGAGGACCGTCATTGACACCCTCCATCAGGAGGGTAAGACACAAAAAGAAATTTCTCAAAGAGCAAGCTGTTCACAGAGTGCAGTTTCAAAGCACATCCACAAAAAGTCTGTTGGAAGGGGGAAATGTGGCAGGAAACGCTGCACAACCAAGAGAGATGACCGCAGCCTTAACAGCATTGTGAAGAAGAGTCGCTTCCAGAATTTGGGGGAGCTTCAAAGACAGTGGACTGAAGCTGGAGTCCAGGTATCAAAAGTCACTGCTGATT